TAAGGCTGTGATTCATGTTATCCCCAAGATGCAGCCGCCTCTTGCTAAAGAGGTTACCACCTTCGGCTGCTCATCATCTTAGTTTCGATGCCAGCTCCTTGCCCGATCACGCCCTGACCTGCCTCGGCTGAAGTTGGTTAGTGAGCGAAGATTTAGCCTGGCTGCTTAGCACAGATAAGCCCGGTTAATGGCTAACTGCTGAAAGGTGCAGGTCTACCCCTGGCTTCTCCTTCGTTTTCCTAACGAATCTATGGTGTAAAACCACAGCATTGCTGTCCTCATCTTTTCCCTTTTAAAGCTGTTGTGTCTGTTTCGTGCTTCCCAGGGCAAAAGTCCCAAATAGAAGCGTGGGGCTGAGTTTAAGTTCAAGATAGAGCTGTAAGTTGCTGAGGCTGACAGATCATACTGCGAAGTGATGAAAACACAAAAAATTTAAGATCAGCCTTCCAAATACTGAGTCTGAACTTCAGTGTACCAGTAAAATTTAGGGCAAGCGTGGGGGTTTTTTTGGTGTTTTGTTTGTTGTTGGGTTTTTTTGTTTTGGTTTGGCTTTTTGGTGGCAATCAAAAGGTGTTTAGGTGGTCTGCTGTTTTTCAGGGACTTACGTCTGGATGTCATAACCCAAGCCAGAATGGGTCCTTTGCTGTATTTGTGCTGAAATGAGGCATTAGGCAACTGCTGATGGGATCCTTCTGTTGTGTGATAGCATCATTCCTGTGGACACTGCTAGAGGTTGGGAAAGTACTACTAGGTGTTCATTTTCTTCATTCTCAAAACTTTATTTTGTATATTAGGACCTTAAATGAGCTCTAGGCTCATAGGCCTGAGGCCTTTCTAGCAGAGGTAGAGGAATGGGTGGAGTAGGGCAGCTTCTCAGTGGGGATTTCTTTGGCATATCCAAGGCCAGTACTAATATTTTATCTTTATTACATGGACAGCCTCCTTGATTCTGCATAGACTGATTTGCTTTTTGAAATTTCAGGAATAGTAAGATGAATATTTTCAAAAACAAAAGCAGTAGAAACTTGGCAAGGACTATTTTTGTTTTGGACAGTGTTTTTTTGGGAAATAGTTGCCATTATTTTGTCATAATGGTGCTAGTCCGTTTTTGTTGTAATTCTTCTATAAAGCCTGTGTTGTTAAAAAATATCTTCCAAATTCACTAGGCAAACTTTTTAGAGAGGAGTTAAGCCATGTAACTGTAGTGATCTGGGCGTTCGCTGATATTGTTTGTAAATTCTTGCATTGAAGCTTGTGAACTACTTAATAGTTTATTACGAGCAAATAGTGCCCATGAACTCATTTTTTGAGGATATGCTGTAGAGTGAAATGAAAAGCAAATTTTAAAATTTTCTTTTTCTCTATGTATACAAAACCCCAAGTGTCTGATTTTGGCTTCTACAATTCTTGTGGTTTTCCCTTTTCTATTGGTTGCTTTTTTGCTGGTAGTGCACTTCACATAAGATTAGCGTGTTTTCACCTTCTCATCTCCTACGTTGAAACTTAATTTTTTCTGCCAGTTTTTCGAAGTGCGATCCACCCAAGTCTATTGATTAGTGAGGCATTGGCAATCACTTTGTGGTTTCTCCAGCAAAACTGCTTTTACATGATGTTTTTAATTGAACAAAAAAACCATTTAGAACTTGTATGGTGATCATTAAGAAACTTGGAAAGTTGGTGGCTTGATGTCCCCCGAAGTCTGCGAATCAGTGCTATAAAGATTTACTGAGTAGGAGCTACTATCACACGTAATGAAGGCAAATACAGAAACTTTGTCATAATTCCAGCTTTTTAGCAAGGTGTCATGATAAACAGTGTCTGAAGATTCATGTGATACGGCTAAAGACAGAATGGTGACGCGTCTTTGTGCCTGTTCTTGTTATAAATGCAGTTCTGCTGAAAATAAATTTCAGCAGAATTCATGGATATTGATGATGCTTCTCACATCTTCGTTATTAAGGTGTTCTGTTTCGTGCTTTACATCCAAGGAGTCTACTCTCCATATTAAAATTGTAGATGCTAACACTTGGAGCTACAGGGAAAAAACATTCTTTGCTAATTTCAGGTCCCAGAGAAAACTGAAATGACATAGCATTTGGATGTCAGCCATGCCGTATGTCTGTGTGGTTCCGTTGACTTCATTTAGGATTGCGTGTGACACTTCTGAAAGTCAGGTGTTTATAGCTCTGAAACTTGCAGATCGTTGCTTTCAGATGGGTGTGATTTCTTACTACTTCTGTCCTAAAGAACTATCACATAGTGTAACAAATGTGCTTGCAGTCAAAATCCCTGACTAAGCGATGTGTAGCCATTCATAAAGTGCTTTCTAATGATATGTACTCTTGACTTATTTTTACTACCACTGTTGAATATGGTATATACAATAATAGGCTTTTATATCACCTGGACAGTCTTTTGGGAGGGTTGTGATTTTCTTGTACAGGTTACTATTTCTTAGGATTCATGCAGCGTCTCCGTTCCCTTCTTACGCTTCTGCCCTATTCGTAAATGCTTCCCAGTTGATACTGGAAGGGGACGCGTAGTCCTCTGGAAAGGAGAGGACTTGCTTGGACGTGTGAAACGCGTGTATTCATGACAATTTGAAAAATGTGTATGGGGGGGTAGGGAGAATAAAAGTTGCAGTCTCCCGTGGAACAGACAGCTGACAATTCATGTATCTGATACTTTTTATTTACTTTCCTGCCCAAGAAGAAAAATGTCCCCCCCGCAGCAACTGCAGCATCTCACGGTACCCAAGCTGCTGCTGAGACACAAAGCACCTCTTAAAGCGTGCGGGCTGTAGAGTTCAGAAATAAATCATCTTCGGTTCAGCTCCTTCTGGAGCTCAGTGAAGGAGTCTGTTGTGCCATAGTGGATTTTCTTGGTCTTCTCTCACAACTGGATTCGTTTTGTATGTGCTGAACTTTATTTTGATCTCCATTGCTCTTGAGTTGCGTTAGTATACTCCTAACAGCTGCTGGGGAATAACTCTCTTGGTTTACACTGAGGTATGAGGAATGAAGTTTTGGCCTGCTAGTTAATAAACATTTCATTTAAAGAAACAATTGCATTTAGATTTAATGTAAGAGTGCAATGTTCACGTTGGTGGCGGCTGGGGGCCTGTGCTGCTTCGCAGACCGGTTGCCAGTTACTTGTTAATCTCAACATAAAGTCACTGACATCAGTTGACATTGTCAACTGCTGTGGGGAAGGAAAATACTTTTTCCCCCCCAGTAACTACAGGGTTTTTTAATACAGTGTATTCTGTTGTCAGTATAAATAAGGAAACTTTTTTAACGGGTTATGTTAGACATTATGGTCTGGCAACTGGAGGAATACTGTGGGCACTCTTTGCAAAAAATGCTTTAATTAGCTGCTGCAACGTTTTTGGTAGGTTGTGTGGTACTGACATGGCATTTGGTTTGTCACAGCATGAAAGAAGGCACAAATGTCCCGAGACCTCATTTCCTCAGAAGCAGCATCAACCCCTCCACATGCTCCTTGCTCCCCTCAGGGGCATGACTCTGAACCTCCTAAGGTCAGCACCAAGTCCTGTCATGGGTGGGAGCAACGAAAAATATCCTGAACATGAAACTTCTTAATTACTCCAGGGGGTTGGTTTTGCTGCTACAAAACAGTTCTTCAGGGATTTGCGCCCTTGCAGTATAGCTGGAAGAGTCCAAATCGACCTTTCCGTGCCTCATAGTAAAAGTGATAAATCTAGTTGAGGCAGATGTTTGAAAAGTAGTGGTGGCTACAGATGGGCTAAGAACATCTGCCCAGCAGTAGGCAAAGGCTAGTACTTTATTCCCAGGTCAAGCTTTTTAGGTGGCAAACAAAATCTGCTGTCCTGGGTGTGGTCATCAGCCCTTCAGATCTTCACGCAGGAGCTTTGGTGGTACTTGTTGACTATCAGTAAGATGGAAGGGGTGGTTTGGTTTTGTTTGTGTGCTTTTTACTGGAAATAGGTGGGGAGGTGGCACATAGATGCTGGAGAACAATGTGTGGAAGACAGCAAGCAGAAGGAAGCTGGGAGGGCTGTACTAACGAGCCTCACTGAATTGCTTGTTAAACTACATATTAAAAAAAAAAAAAGCAGTAACCAAGTGGAAAGTAAGAACTTGGGTTATGTCATGAATTGTTAGGCAGTTATTAGTTTAATTATCAAACTGAATTGTTTTCTTGCTAGTTTTACTCACGTTGAGTAATAACTTGCTTTAGGACTGGATTATCTCTGATGGTTATGTAGGTGTGAACTGAGGTGATGGCACCAAGTTTGCCACTTTACTGCTCCTTCAGAAAGAAAAAAGCTGAACAGGTCTGCATACCTATCATGTAAGCACTTGCTGCTGGCCTGTCTCTGCTCACGGACTGAGAATGCAATCTGCTTAAAACTATTACCTCGAGGACTTCTATAAGTTTTGTAGGAAAAAAAAATGACTGTGGTAGAGCTAGGACATGTTTCTGCTATTCTTGTCAGTTGTTCCAGAAGCCTTGTTTGCCAGAAGCTCTTTATTAAGTCCCAATGCTTTTTTTTTTTTAAGACATTGTGGGATGAAAATTTGCGTGGTGGGTGGTCACAATCTTTTTTCTAATTTTTTTATGTGCTGCGGTTTTAGAGCAGTCTTAATCATATGTGTTAAAATTGTATGCATGTGTAAGTTGGTAAAAATTAGTACTGAGGATAGCAGTACTGTAGAGCCTCTTCCATACATGCAAACCCTGTAGTTTTACAGTAATTTTTTTTGCTTAGAGGTGTCAGAAAACTTTTTTTTTTATCGACTTTCCATTATACAGGTCTTTGCTGCAACTGAATTCTCAAATTACTGTGCTTTGAGAGTTTAGCATGCAAATTTCTAGAAAGAGATATTACTGTGTGATGCTGGAATTTTTTTTGCTGTTATCGTATAATCTGATTGGGTTTTCTTTTTCTCCTCCTTTTCCTAGAGTCTAAAAATCCCTTACTGCTTATTGATAAATCTTTATTTCTTCTTTTCCAGAGATATCAGCATGAATAACATCACAAGGCTACCAGAGGATGCGTTCAAGAACTTTCCAGTAAGTATTTCACACACGTTCAACTTTTTGCTACACCATCAGATGGCTGCGTAAAGTGGAAGGTGGGTGGGGAAGTAGTGTTGAATTGAGCTGCGAACAGAGAAAGCAATTATACTTTAAAAAAAAAAATCCTGTATGTGTTTGGAAACCGGAACAGTAAATGCTACTTACAAGGGACTTTTTACGGTAATTATTTTAATCATGGCTAGAGTGATGACACATACTAATTACAGTGTTATCCAAAGATAACACAAGAGGTGTGTAATTACCATTGTTACCAAAGGAGCTATAGTATAGCTGTTGCGTAAGTTCCATAAAATATATGTGGTTTCATTTACTGAGCAGCTTGCTCCCATTGCCCCTGTAGGCTGCAGATGCAGCGCTCACAAGCTCATCCTGACCTATATCAGAAATTCAAGTTCTGTGGTACAGGGCTTCTTGTTCTTAGTTTCTCTGGCAGAAATTCATAGACTCATAGAATGGTTTGGGTTGGAAAGGGACCTTAGAGATCATCTAGTTCCAACCCCCCTGCTGCGGGCAGGGACACCCTCCACTAGACCAGCTTGCCCAAAGCCCCATCCTACTTGGCCTTAAACACTTCAGGGAGGGGGCATCCACAGCCTCTCTGGGCAACCTGTGCCAGTGCCTCACCACCCTCACAGTCAAGAATTTCTTCCTACTATCTAATCTAAACCTACCCTCCTTCAGCTGAAGGCCATTACCCCTTGTCCTGTTGCTCCATGCCCTCGTAAACAGTCCCTCCCCAGCTTTCTTGCAGGCATCTTTACATACCGGAAGGCTGCTATAACGTCTCCCCGGAGCCTTCTCTTCTCTGGGCTGAACAACCCCAACTCTCCTAGCCTGTCTTCATAGGAGAGAAATTATTTCTCCAGTTCCCATCTCTCTCTTGTCCCACTCTTTTTTTAGCTTTTTTTTTTTTTCCTAAGGGTTTACTTAAGTGATACTTGGACTTCTGAATCCTCGAGCTGTGCTAAGGCTCATGTGCCCAGTGTTTTGCTGAAGTGGAGTCTTAGCTGAGATGCCTTTGCAAAGTTGAAGCACCCTTGCATAGCCCTGAATTAGACTGGGTTTCAGAGCTAATAAACAGGGAGAAGACTTTGACTTTCAATTACTACTTTAGTAAGTACTATTACGTGACGAGTGACTTCTGTGTTCCTTAGTTTCCTTATCTATGAAGAGGGGGTATGGTGCAACCTTTACCAGAGAGCAACTTCCACTAATAAGCAATAGATAAGACACAACCACTGCAATTTGCTTCTCTTGCTTTTTCAATGTCAAAGTAGCATTTCTCATGTCAAAGAGCATTTAAAATACAAAGCAAAGCTGTCCTTGTTTGTGACTTTGGCTAGACTTGAACTATGAGTGCTGTGTTGAGAGATTTTTTTCAATAAATGCACCTTGGGGAAAGAACAGCTCATTTCCCGAAAGAGACGAACCCTTATGAAGTAGGGAAGCATTCTTCCGACTTTACAGATGAGGAAATGGAAGAATGAAAGCCATTTGTAGAGGGCAACAGGATAAATTAACCCCACTGCAAAACTGCCGATAAAGTCCAGAACCTTTTGACTCTGGTTATCTGCTATAACCAATACAACCACCGCACCTCACTGGAACAAAGATATTGAGAAATTGATAAGAGATGGATCACTTGCTCCTGAAGAAAGGCTTGTGTTCCTGAAAGCTTCTTTGGTTTTTCTTTCTTGCACCCCAGCTACACTGGTTGGTCTAATAAGGTGTTCTGCCTTTCCTTACAATTTTGATGTCTCTTCAATCCTGATAACGTAGCAGCTACCATTACCAATACACTTAAATAATTCCATTTTCCCTGGTTCTTAAGCAGTTTTGACTCGGGTCAGTACAATTGTGAAGCACAGTTGAGCTTATTTATGCCAGATGAATTGTGTGTGATATCTTATTTCATGCTTGACAGGTTCTGGTTTATTCCCGCTGATTTTACGTATTGCTTAAATTTGCAATATAGTCAAGAATACCTCGTGAAGGAAGGTGGATTTACCAGGATTTCAGATGATGCATGTGTGTAATTGATACAATTTAAGAAAGGCTCTATAGCATGAGTAGTCAATTAAAAAAAAAAAACCAAACCAAAACACAGAAAAATTAGAAGCCTGGGGAGGTTTGCTTGGCTCAGAATATTTACTAGCCAACATTCCCTATGCACTTTATAATATGTACGTCTGTATGTTTTGTTAGACTGTATTTGTAGTCCATTTCTTCCAAATTCTTTATAGTCATATTTCACACCAAAAGTTGAAAAAACCCAAACAAATCTGTTTTCCCAGCTTCAGGTGACTGAGAGAGACTTCATTTTTTCCCT